ATATCACATGCATTTGTGAAGGAAAGCTCCTTCAAATATTACAGTTAGTTCTAGCTAGAATAGTATGTGAACATTTTGTGACTTCACAGGGTGTGTAACATGTACTTGCATACTAATGAATAATATGGAACAAAAATTTTGCATAATATTTCATAATAGACAGTACTGTTTTTATATGAGTATGGATTATAGATTGTGACCTCTTTAACCACCAGAAGTCCATTCAGAGCAGTTTTTTAACTTCAGTTAAGATTGAACTCTTAATTTTCTTTAATTTATTGAGGAACATCTCAATAAGGTTAGAATTTCTATTACCAAGGAATCAAATAAAAACTTGAAATAACTTTCAGACATCTGCTATTTCATTTTTCCACCTTTGTGCATTTTTATATTATTTGAGGATAAGAGGCTTTTTACTGACATTTAAAATGAGTCTTGGATAAGCTTGTTGAGCAGCATATATTGTGATTCAGCAGTTATGTTTCCTTCAGAATCCAGAGATATCTTCAACAATTTCCAAAACAAAACACAACACACAGATGAACTGAAAACTGGAATGTACTTGCAGTGTTTGGGTTTATGGACTGGGTTTTTTTTTTTAAATATGGTGCTTGCAGATGTTGATGGTTATCTCTGAATATTTTAATTTTTTGGATAGAAAAGCAAAGCAGAAATAATTGCAGAGGAAAACAAGAAGCGACTAAAGACTAAAGAAGAACAGAAAGAGCAAGAGCAATGGAAAGCCTTGAGTATGTCAACTGAAAAGGAAATAAAGCAGAATCTGACTGTTGGAATAAGTAAATTAGAAAAGTTTATCAAGACCCTTCAGAGCAAATCTGTGAAGTTTGCTGCAGAAATGGCAGGATTGTCCACCTGTTTAGAAGTGTGGAAGGAGCACTGCAGAAAGCAAGGTGTGACAGCCAAATTCATATCGGTATTTGCCTTGCGCTCTTGAGCAGCTTTTCCCTTTAACCAAGAAAGGGAGTGCTTTTTGACGTTCTCAGCTAAAATAAAGACACATAAATACACACTTGTTTCAGGAGTGCTGAAGGTGCTTTTAAGTGCTAACAGACTTTAATCCCCTGTTTGAAATTTCAGGATCCTGTGAGTCAGACATGAACTGACATGATATGCAAATCATTTATTGTACATACCTTTAATGAATGGGTATCATGCACACTAAAATATATCCGTGTTGCAGTAGAGTGTTTAATTTGCTGAAGTGGTTAGCTAAGCCTGAAGAATGCTGACTTGCATTGCATTCCATGCCGCCATGGTTAGTGATGTCCAGTTCCACCAGAATTAACTTGTTTATTCCTTACCCTAAGTCAGGAGGATCCAAACTGGAGCTGCATGAAGCCTGCAGCCTGGCAGGACAGATTATTGAATAGTCATCAGCAGTGTGACTTCTGTTCTCTGGCTTTGCTCGCAGAGGCAGAATATTTGAGTGTTTGGTCCTTACAGGCACCCTTGTATAGGTCACATCAGCGTGAGTTGTTTTCCTCTGATTGTCTTTAAATGAAATGCTTTTTAAAATTGTCATAAATGTGATTCGATGGATTAGATCTCATGTAAAAACACCTGATATCAGAAGACTCCCCAGTGATACAATCAGCTCTCAAATAACAATTTTTTTTTAAAGGTAACAATCCTAAAGATTTAAGCATAGCTGTCCAAGTGATGAGGAGAATTCATATCCTCCTGGAAAAATACCAAGATCTGTTGGAGAAATCACACTTACATAAGCTGACCAGATGTCTAAGACTTCTTGGATTTGAGAATTTGGCATGTTCTCTGTCTGGGCAGGTAACTTTATAGAATATAGTGATTCTGCTGTAATGGGATCTGTAATGGCATATCAGCTGTGTGTTCTTAAGCACTGAAAGGTGTGTGTACGATCTGTATTGAGCTTATTTTGGTTTATGTTGTGCCATAAGATTTGGAGCTGTCTCTTCTTGTTTTGAAAACCAAAATGTAATCTTCTTTGGTTCCGTAGATGTATTTCTCTGCCTGATATGGTGGCTAGCTGGCACAGAAAGCCATTTCCACTGGAGTAAGTTGAACTTTATCTGGCAGAAAAGATAACCTTTGAAACAAGAATCAAGTGTAATTTGGTCTTAGTTACATTTGCCTGAGTCCTTAGACATCCCTGAGAGGTGCTTGCTGTTCCACTCGTTGCAGTCAGCTGAACTCTGCATGTTAAAAATAACTGTTAAAAGTTAAGTGACGAGGAGCTACTTGTTAACAGCCTCAAATGTGCTACTTCAAAAAAGGAAATCATTTGAGACTGCTGAGGTGGATGGAAGCTATTCTGTTTGTTGTTATGGTTATTAACTAATCAATCACCTCTGAAGGAAATGGCTTCACATACTCGATTGCTTGTCCTTGCTAGCACAACTGAGACCATCAGTTAGATATACTGAATTTGGCTCTGAAGTCAGAAACTGAGATGCACAGCTATTGTCAACACCTTTTTAAAGACTGACCTTATACTTTTCTGCATATTAGCAACCCTCTCACTGGCTGATTTGATATTAAGAGCTGTTTGGTACCTTGGTGTATTGATGGGATGTTAGTGAGGAGACAGTGCTGAAGAGGCTCTCAAGAGGAAGAGGAAATAACTCACAGACTGCAGAACATGAAGTGATTAGCAGAAGGAAGGAGGATTACAATGAACTGTAAACCCAGTATCACTGGAGTGTCGTTTTTCATACCCAGTAGAGTTAGCAATTTTTGAAAGCTCATTTTTGGAAAGTGTTTATTGTCCTTCCTTGAGCATCAGGAGTAAGAAATGAGAGAAGTGATTATTTTGTACGAAATTTTCTTCTGCTGGAGAGTGTAAATTATTTTTCTCCTTTTTTGTGTGAATTCAACTGGTGTATGATGGTTGTTTGCTCTTGACTATATAGTTTTTAAAAGAGTGTTTTGTGCCCTGAATAAAATGTATTACATTTCAGGAAGTAGAGTTGTAGGTTCCACAGATCGCAAAAGGTCTGTTGTAAAGAAGATTGTGGTGATAGAGGGTATATGTTAGCAAGTTTAAAGCGTCTTGCTCAGAAACATTCTAGATCCACAGTGTGTTTTTGACCTAAGTTTGCTTTGGCAGCTGCTTGTTTCTGACAATTATTTTTGTAAAGTTGGGGGATTTTTAGGAGGGATAACTGAAAATATTTCTTTCAAAGTAGAATCAGAGAGGTTGTGGAATCTCCATCCTTGGAGATATTCAAAACTCTGTTGGACATGGCCCTGAGTGACCTGATCTAATTGCACCTGGTGCTAGCAGGGAGTTGGACTAGTTGACCTCCAGAGGGCCCTGCCAACCTAAGTTATTCTGTGATTCTGTCATCTTTTGGTGTAAGTTTTAAGGTGTAATACTTTTCTATATAGCTTTCAGGATATTGGGTGGTGTAACTAGACGTGATCATGAACTTTAAATTCGGCATGTCTTACAGTATATAGGCACAGCTTGAGAATATCATGCTTTACAAAAACTTGGGCTCACACTCTGTACTCAGTCTTTATATTGAGTTTTGTTTTGCAACTGTGATTCATTGCACAAGGCTATATGGTGTGGATTTCTGCAAGAAATTACCTAAAAATCACCTGCCCTTTTATATTTTTTTTGAAGCTCACACAGCCATGTGCAAAAGCCACGTGCAGTTTTCTTCCTAGTTTTCAAACCAGCTTGAATTTAAATTTGACCTTGTAGGCAAGAGAAAGTGATGATCAGAATATAAGCAGCTATGCTACTGAAGTGGGACCAGCTCGTTTTCAGCTGCAATATATGGACTATTACTTGCTCAGAGAAGAGAGAAATGATCCAGATCCCAGAGTGCAACATTTCATACCAGACACATGGCAGGTAATTAAACACAAACCATTTGTGTATAAAGTTATTGGAGATGATCTCTGAATTTTTTCCCATTTAAAAATACACATTATGACACTACTTGTCAAAAAATACTGGTGTTCCAATTTTAACAAATTCAGTAGATGATTTTGAACTGCCTTCCACGTTTTTTCTATACAGAAGGTTTTTCCACTGAGACCTTGGCTGAAGGTATTCAACATAAGAAATGCCAAGTCCATGGGATTTCACTGTTCATCACCATATTTGATGGTGGTAGTGCCCCGTTTGGGTAATCGCCGACTGTTTTTTCATCCTCTGCTCATTTAGCTCTAAGGAATAACCAGTAACATGAGTTGGGAAGTAACTTTATAGTAAGCCTAGCTCTGGTCTTTGTTGGGCTGGGATGACCAGCTGAATTTGCTGCTTTGGATGTCCACATCATGTTGACTTGCTTGAGTAGCAACTTGGAACTTGGCCTGTGTGCTGGTAGAGGAAGATAATGTTAGTACTATTTCTGCTTCCTCTTCTGCACCCTTAGCCCCATCCTTTCACAAATCTATTTAAGGTGAGAGAGCTTGGAGCAAGACAGTAACAGAGAAGAAGACAAAATAATAAACAAGGCGTACTAGGAGCAGAAGAGAGATTTGGACAGTATTGATGTAACTCTTGTAATGCAAGAAAAAATTACTGCATTGTATAAAACAGTGATTTTTTGTTCTAATACACTGCTGGGTTAACTGGTTTTATTTTTTATTTTTAAAATGTCCACTTTTGGACTGAGAGAGTTCTGGTATTAATATCTCAGACCAAATCATTGATACAGGTAATTTATAATTTGTAGTGTCGTTTCTTCCACTCACACTTCAACAAGAGAGAAGAATACTGTTGTGTATCTACTAAGTTATTATGATCTTCTGTAGTCTCAAATCTGTATATAAAGTCTGTGTGCAAACATAAGAGATGTTTTCGTAGAAAGAGCTTGTGTACTCAGTGAGAACTTCTTAACAGGTCACTTTGATGTGTGTAACTGCTTTTCTCTCTTAGCGAGAACTTCTTGATGCTGTAGATAATAATGAGTCTGCAGTGATTGTTGCTCCCACCTCATCAGGAAAAACATATGCATCGTACTATTGCATGGAAAAAGTTCTGAAAATGAGCAATGAAGGAGTAGTTGTATATGTTGCTCCTACAAAGGTAAGGCTGCATCTTATTACATATTCTGTATATATGACTATGGTACTTCTCAGTGTGATTCTGAAACCATTTAGGGTAACGTATTACACAAATTTAGATAATGTATGTTGTTTTATTAGTTACATCTAGTTAAGCATGTTTAGAAATGTCTTCTAAATATTCAAGCCCATGCAGAGGCTTTTGTGTGTTAATATCTGGATAGCTATTTTAAGCTCATACACAGAAATATGTACAAAAGTGGTAGAAATAACATGTTAGGCAGGTGGTAATAATATCAGAAAGTAATATTGGAACAGAACAATAATCAAGCGGGGCAAGCTGTCTGTTTCCAGTTGAGCCAGGCATTAGATGCTTCAAGAGAAAGTTTAAGAAACTCTAGGCAGTTGTCAGATATTATTTTTAATGAGGGTTTTGTCCTCATAGTTAAAAATTGACTTAAGAGCTGAAGCATGATGTTTTGATTTCTTCCAAAACTTACTTTGACATCAAGCAATACAAATTTCAGATAACAGTCCAAACCTGAGAATGAGTATACAATTACTGTTATTGCTGTTATTCAGTAATAATCTCTGTGAATTGTTTTCTGTAAGTAAAACCAAAATTTATATGGATATACTCAGGTTGGGCATCAAATTGTTGTTTTATTTTGCGTATCAGAGCAGAACTAATGTATTTAACGTCTGCAGCCCTAGGACTTTGAGATCATAAAAGTGCTAATAGATGCAAAAGAATATTGTCTGTTTTTTTAGCTGTTTTGAAAATAGTTAAAATGCAGAATTAATTCCATATAATCCACCACTTCACGCAACACTAAATTTCTTTGAAAACATTCGAGTGTAATTGAAAATTATGTACCCTATCTTTCCAATGTTAACATTCTCGACAGTCTAGACTGTCGTAAATTAATATCGGTGCCAAAACTGAATGCTTCTTTATGCCTCAGAATGTCATATCCCTTGAGATACACACTTCCGTTTTTGTTAATGACCTGCTTTACTTAAGGCCCTTGTAAACCAAGTGGTGGGAGTTATATACAGTCGATTCACCAAGAAACTTCCTGATGGATTGGTGTTGTGTGGAGTCTTCACACGGGATTATCGCCATGATGTCATGAATTCTCAGGTATGTGTTTATGGAGCTTTTAATGCATGATGAAAATGGCCTTTTGTATTTCATCTAGCTTCTGAAAATGTTACTCATTCTGACAGCATTTCATTGATTACTTGCTCTAGTTAAAAGAAAATTCATTACAATCCTTTGGGCACCAGCATACAGCAGAGGCACATCCAGACAAATGAAGGAGATGCTCTTTTCCTTCCTTTCTTATCTTGATTGTATCTCCTGTTCTTTATCGACCTTGCTGACATCAGCCTCTTGTTAAATGGCCCTGCCTGATGCCTTTTTTATTTGATCCCTAGCAATCTGTTTTCACTAGCCACGGTGGATCAAAATCAGTTGTAAGTTCTAGTGAAATGATAGAGTTCAAACTCTGACATGTAGGTAAATCTTGGAAACAAATTAGGTAGGCTTTGACTCATAGCTGAAAAAGATTGAAAAGTACTGATGATTTGACCTGAAAACCAAGGTAAGGTATTAATTTTAACCAAGATGATAATTTGCTATTGCTGTTGCTGTGGAAAGCTTTCAGACACTCAGGTGACAGTAGTGTAAAACCCTGAGATAAATAGGAGTAAACTTAATATGTTTTATAGGTATAATATGACATTTTCTGTATCCATTAATCTTTTAAAACCTTGGTAGTGAAAGATACAATGTAAATGAACATTTGTTATTCTCTCAGCACTGAAGTTCATGGTCTTTTCCTTTCACAAGTTGCTTCTCAAGCCAGGATTCTTTCATTCTTAAATGGAAGTATTTAAAAAGAAAACTGATAACGTAAATATAACTGATAAACATAAATAAACTGATAACTGATGGTAAGAATATTCTAGACACGATCCTGCTGCCTCTATTAATGCCTAAAGTGAAAAAACATGAACTATGGAGTGAAAAACATGAACATGAACTATTTTGGCTCCTGGCAGCTGCTCTTCCTCATTGTTGCGATTATAACCTTAGTTGGAAAATACATATATTTTAATAAAGAAGCAATCTTCCTGTGTTTTATATACCAGTTTACTTGAAAACAATGTTTTACAAACCTTTCTTCTTAGATACTAGTCACTGTGCCTCAGTGTTTAGAGATCTTGATGCTGTCCCCTCACTGCCAGAAATGGACCAAGCGTATACAATATGTTATATTTGATGAGGTAGGTGTCTTTCAATGCTAATCAATTTAACAAATATAAGAAAAATTTTGAGGAAAAATGCCAAAGACTCATTTTTTCATTACATATATTATTACTGGTAAAAGCCAATTTCCAGAAATATTATTTGAAAATTCTTACTTCTCAGACATATATATGTTTTGCTTTTTCATGGTAGCTAGTAGTGTTTATGTGTTCTAGTAAAAGAACGTAAAAATCTGATGATAGTCATCAGGAGGACATACAGTTCAGTCAAAGCTACCGGGAACTTCCCTTATTTCTCTCAAGCCAGTCAACTGAAAAATTAAAGGCATCCACCATAATCCCAGTGGCACAAATGGAATATTCCAGACCTTGATCATACACATTAGACATCATAAGGTTAATCTTTCTAGGGCAAAAAGTCAGTGATGAATTCTGCTAAATTTAAAATGCGCTCTGTTTCTATGTATTAAATTACTTGCTGATGATGCAATGACTATCTAGGGTACAAAAAATAAATGTAGTGTTGAAATTTAGACTAATTGACTGTCCACTGAAGTCTAGAGATGGATTTGGGTCTCACAGTCATTTGCTACAACATAAGAATTACTCGGTAGTGATCTTTTTTATTGCAAAACACAAAACAACTCCTGTTATGGCTACACTTTGACAAGGAACATTTCTCCTTTTCTTTTCACCATTTGTCTTTCTCCCAAATACAGGTCCATTGTCTTGGTGGTGAAATTGGAGCAGAGGTGTGGGAGCATCTTCTGGTAACAATTCGTTGTCCGTTCTTGGCCCTCTCTGCTACTATCAGTAACCCAGAATACCTAACTGAGTATGCTTGGAGTTTTTTTTTTCTCAAAAGGGCACATTTAAGTTGGATATGAACTTTTTGGACAGAGAGGTCAATTACTATATGGAGACAACAGATACAGAGTTGGATTGTTATATGTTTTCGGCTACACTCGGCTCTCCACTTGACCCCAAATAATACTGTAACTCTTAACTTTCTGTAATGAGAACAAGAGAGTTCCTTCAGGCCCTTTAAGTTAGCAGGAAAGAAGAATTTAGGAGGCCCATATGTCTATTTGAACTGCCGTAGCCTGATAAGCATACTTGTCTGTCGCTGATCAAGGAAAACACCTGCGCTATGTGTATGTATGATGAACATTTTCAAACTTAGGGCTTGCACCTTAAGATGCATTGGAGGAAATTATGCTAAATACGGTGAGCAGGGACCAAACATAGAAATTCTATCGGTGAAATCAAGCAGAAAGATAGAAATTCTATTGGTGAAATCAAGCAGATAGAAGTAATCTATCTACTTTAGTTGTAGCAATTTTATGACAATATATTTTCTAACTGTTAGCTTTATTTTAATCTTGTATTATAGGTGGTTGCAATCTGTGAAAAGGTATTGGCAGCATGCTGAGAATACAATAGAAGGAAGCGCTAAAAACTCTACAGAGAATTTCACAGGAAAACGTAAAGTGAAATCAAAAGTGCAAGAACAAAAAAAATCGTATCGTGTTAGACTAGGTGTGTATCAGAATATTTTAGAACTAAAAAATAAATACATTTTAGTGTGATTTCTGCAGAAACTTTTATCACAGTGCATGAACTTAAACATATATGCTTTTTAAGGAAAAACAAATCTTTTCAGGGTTAGGTACTTGCTTTTTAAAGCAAACGAATGTATCATGACAGCATTTTTGTCTGTTCACAGTCCTGTATGAAGAAAGATACAATGATTTGGAAAAGCACGTGTGTTCTGTAAAGGGCACTGATTTTGTTATTGAACATTGTCACCCATGTGCTGCATTAACAGTCAATCACGTAAGCATAATACTGGTGTCAAAGTTGTTTGTCAGCTGTTGTATTAAGCAACATGAGTCCCCTTAAAATGATTCCTTTATTTTTCTTTTGTTTAACCTCCTTACAGATTGAGAGCTATGGCATTCCTTCAGACCTTTCTCTGTCTCCACGAGAGAGCATCCAGCTGTATGACACCATGGTAAAAGTCTGGCAAGAGTGGCCAAGGGCACAGGTGGGTATACACAGTTGAGCATGGAGTGTATCAACATGAAGAGAAAGCAAAGTACTCAGTTGTTTTTTGTTGTTGGTATTTTCAAGGAGCTAGATCCTGAGGAGTTTGTCCTTTTCAAGAATAAAGTGGTAATAAAAAAGGTGGATGTGAGGAAGTATGAACAGGAGTTGAAGAAAGAACTAACCGAATGGATTGCAGTTAACCAAAGACAGAAGGTAACAGTTGTTACTGGAGAGCTTTTTCAAAGATTATATATGTCTTTAATATAATTATTATATAATAATTATGTACAGTAATATGATTAAATAATTATGGGAGTTTCTCCTCCCCTAATTATTATTTCTTTTATTAGTTGTAAATATTGCTTTGCTGAAAAATAAATGCTAGTATTTGTGGCATTTCCATAAGCGTTTTCAAGGTGATGTTTTCCCAATCTTCTCTGGGAATTAGACTTGTGATAGTACTTCAAGATTACAATTCCTGATTCCTTTGGGTACAGTTAAAACTCCCACAGTTAGTGAGAACTTCTGTGTATTCTGCTTCTTTAGTCTGCCTCCTTTTTACTGCTTATTTGAATCCTTCTCTGTAACCACAGACAGTAGGTATGTTTCTATGTAAATGATAGAAATTAAAGCAATGAGCAGAAAATCAAGTCCTTAGTTAGAGGCAAACTGTTCATATATCATAAAAAGGGGTATGAAGAAGCAGTGGATCAACAACAAGAAAACATTTAAGAATACATAGGAAATAACCTGAACTTTTTAGAATGTGATACTTAAATGTAAAAAGCACCGTAATCTCTATATTAGTGATGCTTTATTTATTTGTACAGTGATGACAGCCGTGAATGTTACAACAATTTGCATTTTGAGTTCTTACTGAAGTTAGTTTATGTTCTGCAGATCCTCTAGTCTGTAAACTGTCCGTGGTTATTGCAGTTCTAGATAACTTTAAAAATCTGAGCTGATAGACGCTGACACAGAAGACTGGAGGCCTGATCTTTATTAGCCTCCAAGCAGACATTTCTGTCATTAAAATCTGCTCAATAATAACGCTTTGGTCAGGTGCATGAGCTACTGGAGCACCTTAAGCCCCGACCTGTGGATTGCTCAAAAGAGGAAAAGTGGACCAAGTTTGCATGCTTTGTTGACAAATTACATGAGATGGATAAATTGCCTGCCATATTTTTTATGTGAGTATTTACATTCCATGTATTGTATCTGTATTGCCTAGACTCAGAACTAAGTGGGTATTAGAGATGAGCACTGACATAGCTTGGCAGCATTTCTATGGTAAATGTTAGCTTTATTTTAAAAATGTATGAAGTGATGAAAAGTGCTATCAATCCAATTACCTTTATGGGATGATAAAAAGTTCAGCTGAAATAAGACCAGGAGCATTACTGTGTGGGGAATGATTTGAAGAAAATTTTAAAAAACTGAGTCACATTAAAATGAGAGTTAGATCCTCAGTTGCTTTGCCCCTGATGTAGCGAGTAAAACTTGTGCAAAGCATATACTGTGTATTTAGAGGTGCAAATGGTATATGTAGGGGCTGATTTGCTAGCGGAAGTGATGGACTGAAGAGCTATTAATGTATGTTTTTGTCACAAGGTGGTGGTTCCACTACATAGACTCTAACAAAATCATATTACATCAGTGACATGCATCCATGAATCTGTTCTGCATATAGGTGAGATGTAATTTGGCAAAGCCTCAAATGAATGCAAAGCTTAGAGAATACTGATACCACCATTATTGCCAGTGATATTGTTAATATTAGTAAAGTAGGCACATATCTCAGTGCTGTGCTTAATAATGGAAAGAGGTTGCGTGTCAGTAAACAGAGGTGCCTGCTTCCATATTCTCATTGTAATAAGGCATAGGAGCCACCACTTAAAATGGAAGACTTTCTCATCTGAGTATCAAGTCCTTGTACTGGACACCTTGATAGTTAGGGGAGGATGCCTACTGCCATTTCAGTTCTCACATGCTTGATGCTGATGAAATGGCATTTCTAAAAGGTCTCTGGAAAGGAAGAAGCAAAAAGTGAGTATACATGTAAATGACACATCTCAAAGGACTCTAGTTGCTGGTAAATTACATCTTTTTTTTTTATCTTTGAATGACGGCTCAGTTGTAAATTAATCCTGTGGCTGATTTCAGGCTGCATCTGACAGTTTTCAAAACCACACTTTGATATTTGTAATTCCTTCACATAAGGGAGCTACTCTGTGAAGTGCAACATCATTTTGGGGCAATTAATGGAAGTTCCAAGGTGCTTCTCCTTAAGAAAGATAAAGTGCCTTCCCCTCATCTGTCCTAGAATGGTGGGCACTTAGAATTTCTGGTGGCTAACGGCTCTTAGGGATTGTGTGTAGGGTGTGAATCCTTCTAGTAGACACAATTGATAAATGATCGTGGTGGGACAAGAGCATGTGCTGGGCCAGTGAAGACGGAGGTGCAAACTAGTGGTATCAGCTGGGGGATGAGGTACAGAAATCTGTTATCTGAGGTTCTTTTAAGATGCAGTTCCAGTATAACAGCCCTTGGTAGACCTCCCCAGTCTCTTTCTAATAGTAAGGCAAAGGGCAAGAGTCAGACAGAACTTAAAAAAAAAACTTTCTAGCTAAATGTCCAAATTCTGAGAAATTCTGATACAGATGAATGGATTGAGTCGCCATCAAAAGAAGTAGATATTGACTTGGAGCAGTAGATTGGTGTTTCTGCTTTGTTGGTGCTGGTAAGCTTTTTCTCCCTAAGCCATTATTGAGGAATGAGGTTGCATAGCAGTCACCCTCTGTGGTGTTATATCAGCATGGAATTAATAGAGACTCCTGAGAGATCAAATATCAGAGGTGTAAAGGCCAGGTTGTTTACTGCTGCCGTTGGTGGTAGGAAAAAGAGCCGCCAGAGAGATGAGCAGACTGGCACCAGGTTTGTAATTCTTATGTCTGAGTGGTAGAAAGAGCTTATATCACTCACTCTTGAGTTTCAAAGTGATAAAAGCATAAATGGAAATGATTTTTATTGAGCCCTTTCATGGGCTTAATTTAAGGAGAAATTATCTCCTAATATTAGGATCTGTATTTAGCCTTTCTGAGGATAAAATCCTTCAATTTTTGCTTCAGGTGACTGACTGCCAGAGTTGAAGGACTTGTGAATATTCTGATAGACCAGGATGCAACTTCACTGCAGTTGGTGCATATACCTTGTACGATGTTAGTTAACAGGATCTGCCTGCAGCAACAAGAATAAAAAAAGTATTTTCTGAGAGTGAAGCTGGAGCTTCTTCATAGTTAAACTCCAAGCAGTCCAATATTGGGGGAGGGGGGGAGAGCAAGAACAGCTATGTAGATGACCAAGAAAGCAAGTATTCATTCTCAGCTGGCCAGCTGAGAAGAGTTAAAATGGCTTAAGGTACAGTCTACTTTATACATCCAACTGTCTAGCTTAGGGGAAGGGTAGGGCTGAGCATGCTTTCTATGGGTAATTTACTGTCAGAACCATTTTACATTTTATCACTCCGTTTTGGAATAACTGCAGTATGAAGGTGAACATGGATTGTGACTTGGAGATGGAATAGGGGTACACTTCTACTGAATAAAAACAACTTTTGTCAGGTATCGGGGCTCACTGAGTGTTATCATAACAGCATACATGTATTTATAAGTAAAAGTTCTCTTAGAATTCACTTAACTGATGTATATTATGTATTATTTATTTTAAGTTTTAGCCTAAATTTAGTGGAACGGGCAGCCTGTAATGTATACTCCAATTTGCTGAACAAACAAAAAAATGAACAAGACCCTAATACTGAGAGGGAAAAAGAAAATTTAAGAGACAAACTAAGAAAAGTGAATAAGGTGCTAAAGAAACTTCAGCCTTTGTAAGTATTATAATGATATACTATTAAAAAACTCGCATACTATGACAGAGCATAATTTTGTGATTAGATATTCCCAGCGAATGTACCTTATAGCAGCACATTCATCCTGCTACAGTGCAGTAGTCCCACCTCCTTTTTGTGCTCCAGCAGCCCTCACAGTAGGAATAGCTCTATGGCAGATGTCAATCAGCAGTACCTTGCGCATAGTCCAGCAGTAGAGAGACACCAGTGTCACTGACTTTGTGGAAGGTGCTGGCACTACAGCATGAGTGTCAAAAAGAGAAATGAGTATATGAGATAGTCAATCTGGAATAATCTAGAACTGAGATAATATCAATGTGCCACAGCTGCTCTTTCTCCAGACTGTAATTTTTGTCATGCAGTGACTTAAAAAGACATGTAGCTTCTGATCCTGGATGCGGGGGGCAGCCACTGTGGGAGAACATTTTCTTAGCTTAGCTTCACCGTTGCTGGTTACAGTGATGGATCTCTGAAGTGTAGGTTCACCTGACTGATGAGGTGTTCTTTGAAAATGTTAGCCTTTTGCTTTGATTTGTACCCTTTGCTTAGATTGGTTTCCCCTTTAACCTTGAACTTTCTTGGGTTTGTGATCGTAGGGTCTAGATTTCTAAAGGCATTTGCCAATGAAATACAGTTATAGTTACCAGGATTGTCAGGAACACTAAGTACCACACTTTTGCACTCCTAATCGTGACAATTTACAGTGCATTCATTGGTCATAATATCACAAGAGAATGAACTTAGCTGACTTTAATAGTAGTAGGTGAGAACTTTGAAAAATCCAGTAGCAACATATTTAGACATTGAAATACCTTCATAAATCTGGCCCTAAATAGTTTTCTCCCTCCTCTCTTCTTCAAGTCCTGCCCTAACTAGTTATATTCCATGTCATTATTGGGGGTAAATCCATCAGATTTCTCATTTCTCTTTCATGTTGAGTTCTTCCACTATGGAATTATTTTTCCCTTACTAATTTGCAAAATTAAGGTAACTTCTACATGTTGTCTTCATCTTCCTTCATTTTTGTATATCATCATAAATCTTCCTCTCTACTTCACCCAGAGTTACTTACTGCAAGTGGTTAGCGTTATAAATAAATTTACATTTAACATATGTTTGAGCCTAGAGTTTAAAAGGGGTATGAATCTGCTTCTTTTGGAAATGAAATAATGTTTTAAAATTGAGAAATATATGTTAATTACAGAAATAATAATTTTAATTATATATTTTATACAGTGATACCAAAAAACTGAGTCCCAGTAAAACGGAAAGCATAATGCATGTTCTGGATGAAAAGAAACACTTAGAGAAAAGACTTAAAAAGCTTACTGTGATCCCTTCTGTGTGTACTTATGCTAATTCTAAGGCTGTGGATGAAGGTGTAAGTAATTCACTGATAATTTTAAAAAGTGTTTGGTTTTATATGTCTAAAATGTATAAATACATAAATACATGCATAAATACATAAAATGTACGTAATGTGTGATTCAATTGTACTTCATAACAGTATATATGGACTTCATGAAAGATTCTGACTATTTCTATGTAAATTTAACTCCGGGTATCAATCAATCTTAGATGACTTTATTTTTAAGATGTACCCAGAACTTTCATTCTAGCAAAAAAAGTTGCTGACCTGTCCCTGTGGTAGGAGTCGTGTGATACATGAGGCAATGAGCCCACTTCCATGAACTATCAGTGGTGCAGTTCTGTTACCTGTGAATTTAGATGTCAGACTGATGTTTTTCTGAGTGAGTCATCGGATTTAGCTACATGGCATCTTTGTGTACTTACCTAAAACTTTTCAAGGCCTTAATACCCTGTAAAAATAACAAATAATAAATTACTTTAGACCCTAAAACTCCTAGTCATCAGAGAGCAACATTTTCCTTGCTCTTCAATATGTTTATGCCCCACCCCGAGGAAAGAAAAGCTGAGAAAATAGCTAGACTCTGAAAGTTTAGAGATGTCCACCAGCAAGGTTAAAGTATGTGCTTGTATATAAATTGTTAAGGAATAATTTGAAAGATATTTATATGACATGATTGCCAGCAATTGTAGGTGACTGGGCCTTGATCCAGCAGATCCCCTCTAGTCCAGAGTTCCTGAGAAAGGACTGTGGTTCATATAGCTCTCTCTTACCTAACATTTGTTTTTTTTAATTAAAAAATAATTATGATATATACCTCTTAATTCAGAGAAAAAAATGCTTGAAATTTTGGTGAAGTGTCTTATTAATGCTTTCTCGCTGTTCATTGTGATACATCTTCTGAAAGACAGGAAAATTCTGTGTATTTGGTCCAAGCCTGAAAATTCTCATGATTCCTGTTCTGGGAACTTGGGATCCCAATGGCATTTTTAGACTGCTGTCAGCTAGCTTCAAGGAAACATTGCTTTTCACAGCTGTGAATAGATAAAGTTTGGATTTGGAATGGATGGCACTTAGCTGAAGGGTGAAATTCAGAAAATCCTGGAGTAGCTTGATTTAGTGCTATTTCTGAGGTTGAGAGAGAGAAACTTACTCACTGTACGGGGAGATGAGGTGGTGATACAGAGCAGGGGTGACACATGAGAGCAAAAGAATATCAGTTTCACATAGGCTACTTAGGAAATTGTTCTGAGATAGTGGCATGCAATATGTATCATGAGGCCATGACTGACGTAGGAAAGTCATGAACATGCACACTTGCCGTTTCTAACTGCAACCAGTTGAATGGTGGATTTGTCAATTGCGACTGACGCAGCGGCACGTGTAGCAGGGAACATGGGAAAATACCTGATAGAAGTGTACCGAAGAGCTAGGATTTGTGATCATACTGAAGCCACTATTGGGACCCATCCAGTTATTTACTCTGTGCTTCAAGTTCATTGAAATTCATAAACCACTGTATTTCTCTGTCATATTTGGAACTTTATCAGATAAGACATTTTCTGTTTTCACTGGCAAAACTTGTTTGTGGTTAATATTTAACCTTTCTTTTTATTTGTAGACTTTGAAGAAGATCTTTGATCGAGTTAGGTTGCAGAGAAGAGGTTATGAGCAGAGAATGCTGGCACTGAGGGGCATTGGGTATCATCATGGTTCTATGGCCTTCAGGGAAAGACAAGTAGTAGAGATGCTCTTCAGGCTGGGTTATATCAAGGTTGGTGAATGGGGAGCAGTTTAAGGGCATTTTTTGTTTATTCGTTTGTTTGTTTTTAAAAAACATTTTAATTTTTCAACATATTTAATTAAAAATTGTAGTGTATCTTTCAAAACAGATTTATCATGCTCATTTTTGAAATGTTGACATGAAGGTTTCCAAATTAATGAAGTGTCAAGTAAATGAAATAGTACCTGTAGAACTGAATTTCTGAGTAGAAATTACTATCCTTCAGGTTAGCATATCACAACTAAATGTGTTCCAGTGGAATGAGCTGTACAGGACTATGGTGTTTCATTCTCTCTTCACTCAATATTAATTCCATTTGTGTTTCATAAAAGATACGGTATAAACTTTCATGATATGCAAGTTGGTAGATGTTTATATGCATATAATAATTATATTTAAACCGTGAAATTTAGGCCTATTAAATCCATCAGATTAAAGTTTACCTATATAAAAAATAATAGCAAAATTCCTGTTGATTTGAGTGGGTTGTAACAGATCATTTTTAACTGGATATTGTCACATCTAATAGATGTGCTAATGTTTGATTCTTTTATATATAGGTAGTCACAGCTACTGGAACACTTGCTTTAGGAATCAACATGCCTTGTAAATCTGTTGTCTTTGCTGAAGATTCTATCTTTTTAGATGCCCTACATTACAGACAGGTATGGAAATAGGATATTTACTGTTTGCTTTACAAATGTAGTACATACATACTTGTTATTACATGCAAATTCAGATAATGTCTTTTGTTTTACATATACTTCTGGGTATATTCTGAGTTTTAGCTGTTCACTTCAGTGACAAAAATCATTTTAGCTAAGGTATTTTTACTAATATTTCAGAACTGGCAGCACCCCAATAACGGGCAGAGTTAACAGACCTATGTCAGCACTGAAAGCATTGCACTTTAATTCAAGGCATAGATTCAGCTTTCAGTTATGGGGGTCAGTAGAGAGAGAAGTTCTTGCTTTAGCCAAGTTGTTACAAATGTATGAAAAATATGCTATAAGAACATACAGTGAGATGTGGTTATGAAAGGAAAGAATACTGACTGGATTAATAGGGAGGCTTGAGCTAGTTCCCTCTTGGAAGTGGCACTCCGTGCAGTACAACACAGCACTGTCTGGACAAGGTTGCAGACGCAACTGAGTCTCTGGATATGGCATAACCAGGTGCACTGAGAGACTTTAGCCTCTTCATTAGTGCCTCTTTCCTGTTCTTCTGTGTTTCAAACAACCTGTATTTTCCACAAATACTGCTAGTTTGCCTCTGGTTCCAGACCGCGTGGACCAGATCCAGCTCATGCCACCACCTGGCAGGTGGCTCTCACAGCCAGAGAGTCAGTGGACCTGTGCAGTAGCCAGTACCTACCTGTCTTTCTTGTTCTACACATATATGATATGATTCCAGCTTTGTCCCATCATGGGGTACAAGGGGTGAGTCCCCAAAAGGGACCCAGCCAAGAAAGGGTGATCCAAGCAAGGGAATGCACCTTTAGGAAGCTTCCGCCTATTCGTTATTCGTATTCTCTGCTTTTTATTCGTATTGAGACTCGCTTTGCCGCAAGTCTACCCAGAAACAATTCAGATATAAATGTAATTTGAAAACAAAGCCGGTATATAGGTGAAATAGTTAGTTATAATAGAAGTTACAATTTACCTTGCAGAAATATAAATGTTAAAAAGAGGTGTGAGAGAACATAAGTATCCAGGCCAACTTTTAGATCCCTTTTAGATCCCTTATCAAATTTAGACGATCGTATATAAAAAAGTACATGAAACAATCGCAGCTGTAAAACAGCAACATTTGAGGTACAGCACAATTTGCACACATTATTTTAAAACTGTGCAGAAATGCTTTATTAAGATTGTATAGATGGTAGCAGTATGTACAATGTAGATATATTCTATTTATAATTTTAATAATTTAAACATTATTGTTACAAATATCTTCTTCTTAGATGTCAGGACGTGCTGGAAGACGTGGACAAGATATGATCGGAAATGTGTTCTTTTATGATATCCCCCTGCCCAAGGTTGAAAGACTTATGAAGTCTAATATACCTCAATTGAAAGGCCAGTTCCCTCTGACTATTTCCTTAATACTGAGACTCATGCTGTTGGCTGCAAAGGCTGATGACAAAACAGATGCCAGAGCAAAGGTATAGGAAATTTTTTAATAGCAATTTAATTGAATTATAGTATCTCCTTAACTCAAGCAGAAAGTTATGCATTTCAAAAGTAAATAGTTGTTCTTCAAGTGAAATTGCGTATCCTGCTATACTCCTCGTACATGGCATTGCACTGTGAATTTTTATGCACCTATTTTTTTGCAACAAATATTATTATGAGAAAGGATACTATATAGGAAGGCATTTTAATTCAAACTCTTGTTGTATATAATATTTGCATTAACTACACTTGGAGAATCAGAAAATTGTGCAATATTTAAAATTTTAGCTTTAATTGACAAGCAGGTGTAAACAGATTTTAGCATCAGAAAGAGGGAGCTGTGAAACGCTACCTCAACTGAAGCAATGAGAAAATTCTGTGTATTTCTTGAAGTTGCTTAAGTCAACGTAAGCTCAACATAAGCAATCAAGAGATTCTTATTCTTGACATTGAATGCAGTAATTTACGTAAACAATCCATGGCCATTATTACAAATTGTTCAAGGAGCCCCTCCTGTAATCATTCAGGTACTTTATCTCCAGCTGATCTATGTTTCTTGGATCCATTTCAGCATATGGACATTTATTTTCAAGAATGTAAAAGATGAACACAGGACACGCTTAACCAATTTAGACACAAATGGGATCAGCTGCTTGTGATAAAATAAATTGGTAAACTTAGGTATTAAAATACTGAAAATGATATTAAGATGTACAGTACAATTTTAGAACTTCTTAGTTTTAGTCTAATGATGCAAATATATATTAAGTTCTTGTTCCTATAGATTTGTATATGAACTTCATGTAGCTAACTCTACATAGCTCAGCATAAGTTTAAAACATGCAGATGTCTGGCATGTGCCAGGCAAAGGATGGTCTTTTCACAGCACTTGTGAAAAGGAGGTGGATGTTCAATTTAAAAAAGAATCAAACCAACCGCACCTAGCATTTCTATCCTGAAAACTAACTGATGAAGCAAAACATAAAAAAATGAATCTTAAATGTCTTTGTTTATTACAATACAGACTTCCCCTTGAATTTCTAATTTCTTGGGTTTTTATTTTTGTTCGGCCAGGCATTGTCAGTGTTGAAGCACTCACTGATGTCCTTCAAACAAGAAAGACATACCAAACTATTAAAAACGTATTTTATCTTTTCCTTGCAGTTTCTTATCAAAGAGGTATGTTTTAACTCATTCTGGATAGCAGTAGTCTGTAAATACAGTCTTTCTTTCTTAAACCTACACACTCAAAAAAGTTAAGAACTTCTGCTTGTCTTCTCTTTCTCTTAAAAATATTTTATGTCCCATAGCAACAGGCAAGCTTCTGTAGAGAGAAATTTAAGGAAACAGCTAAAAATAGAGGACTTTAAGCCTGAGGTTAATTTTAAGTTGTGTTTTGTGAAATAAATTTAATAGGGAAAGTCACGTGGTGTGGTCTTTGTAACTATGATCACAGACTGCTCTGGAAACTAAGAACTGTGTTCTGTTATGTATGAAGAAGCAGGTATGTGAAGTGATTACAGTTTAAAACACTCTAATAATCATATAACTTCCAAAATGCTGGGAGAAAATTATACCTCTAAGAAAAATTTAGGAAATAGCTACTGGAGAAGGCTGAAAACTAGCAGTATATCTCTGCATAGCAAGAGTTTCAATTTGATGGATACTGCTCTGGCAACTTTTTGTGCCTAATTCTGGTTTTAGTTTACAGCCCAGCACTGCAGGCAGTAAGAGGCTGTGATGTGATGTGATGTGATGTGACGTGATGTGATGTGACCACCAACTCATCTGTGACCAGGTTTCCTGGCCCTGTTCCCAACAGGATCCCTATTCGGGTCTCACCTCTGATGGGTGTCCCTTGTGTGTGAGATCAGGATTCTGATACTCCCATTGAACAGAAAAATCTGACATCAATGCGTGGGAGAGATTTGTAACGTTTCTAGAAAGTAACAGTTAGCGTGAGAGCAGGCCAAAACCAAGCCCCTGTACCTGCTGTCCTGTGTCTAACATGCTTTCAAGAGAAAAGTATAAAAAAAGGGGTGCTCATATAACGATGATTCTCTAGATACTCCCTGCTTTCTAGTAAAGTGTGATGCAGAATGTTTTCTGCTAGGAGCGGTATCTTGGCATTTTATAGCATTCAATAGAGTTTTATTCCATGAGCTTGTCCCATTGATTTTTGAAACTGTATAGGCTTTTAGCATCCAAACGTACTTCAGCAACATATTTGACAGCTCGTTATTTGCTGTGCTTTTTATCCCATCAAACACCTAGATTATTTTCTTTTTAATGAAAGTTGCATCAAATCTTACTTGGTGGCTTTGTGCACTTTTCCTTTGGAAGATGGTCTAAATTGGCACTAAAACTATGAAGATTTATGCGTTTTGCACAGGGAGATGAGATGACGATCTCTATGGAAATACTCGAATAGTTGGTGACTTTTTCCTCAGAAAATTTTTGCCTTTCAGTGGAAATTGAAGTTCTCAGTTGCAGAGGTACCTATACGTTAGGTTGAAAGACTGTTCTTCTGAATACCGTTTTATGTTTTTTGTCAAATACAGGCTCTTAAAAGACTTTGAATCTTTCACAGCTAAGCTATTTTTTTTGTTTGTTTTTAAATAACACAGGGCTACTTGGATCAGGAAGGTAACCCCATAGGCTTTGCTGGACTTGTGACACACTTACACTATCATGAACCTTCGAATTTTGTCCTAGTGAGTTTTCTTGTGAAAGGCTTATTCCACAAGTTGTGCCAGCCAATTGAAGAAGGTAAGATAATATTCTATGCACTTCAGTTGCAGTCCATGGCAGACCACTGTAGTCCAAAATGTTCTGAAATTTCTGGGTGTCTTGTTGCTGTTGCTGCCTTTTTCTTGCCTAGTCTTCATCCCTGTATCCTTGGTCTCTGCCTCTCCCCATTCTGCACGTGCTTATATTTCCATCTTGAGAAAGCCAATGTACACATATAGCAATGCTAATATCATGAACCTAAATTTATTGTTTGTGAAATATTTTGATGAACTGAAAAAAAAAAGCCATCAAAAATCCATTTGCTCTGGAAAAATTAATAATTCTGACTCCAGAGCAATATTTGAGTAGTGTGTAGTAAATAAGATGGACGACCAGTCTCTGAATATAAAAAAATTAACAGAAAAGTACTAACCGCTTATTACATGACTAAGGTTCATTTTATGCGCTGAGACAAGAAGAGTTACAATATGTGATCGTGTAAGAAGACAGCATCAATTTGTATGTATTGTTAGTTGTTTGGACTAACACTCCCAGAGTGTTTTGCTTAATTATCTAACTGGAGGATTTTTCTATGTAATGAGTTGATCTTTATCCAGCATTGTTTTGTGTAACCTCTCCTGACAATAGCGGCTGGCAGGGAAAGTCCTGAATGTCGTTTTAAGCAAACAAAATAAATTTTTTTTTACATTTTCTTATTTAATCTAAGTACTTTTTGTTTTGATATAGGCTCAACTGATTTTTCAGAAGATGTCATGGAAAAGCTGGTGCTCATTCTAGCAAACCTGTTTGGGAGAAAGTATCTTCCAGCTGGCACAGAGAAATTTAAAAACAAATTTTACCAGTCAAAGGTAGAGAGAGCATTTGGTGTTTACTGTAACTTAATAATATTGTGTACCACCTCAGTGAATTTCTGGTTTCATTTTGTCAGTTTGACTAGTGTCACGATGGATGTACAGCAGTTAGAATAATGAAAAAGGTACCTACTAGATTAAGATAAAGTGGCCATGATTTAACTACAACAGCAGTTGAGTCTCAGGTTAAATGAAAAGTGTCAGATTAGTCAAGTATATTTTAGAGATGACAAATTATTATATACTTACTGTCACAATATTTCAAAATTTTAAAGTATAGACTACACAGGTTTTCTTCATGCAATAAAAAAAACTTAAATATCTCTTCCCCAATTAGAAGCTCGATTTCTTTTCCTCACTGTACTAGAATGTCTCAGTGTGAAGAGCTGTAGCATTTTGTGACACATACCAATGACCTGTAAAGACTCGAGCATGCACTGTAGCACATGAAACTATGGGCTTAGGGCTAACTTTTTCAAAAGATGGGACAGTATGTACATTAGTTATGCACTAAGGAAGTAACTCACCGCGGGTGGAGGCAGAAAATGAAACATTTATAATGGGCTACCTTTGTCTCTTTTATACAAACCCTTAAAATTTTGGAGGGGACAGCTACGGCTGGAGGAACAAAGGAAACTCTTTCCACCTAAAGATACTTATTCCACTAGTTTCCAGCAAGCAGTCCAGGAGGAAAAAAGTTACGCATTTCTGAAAAGTAGTTAGTCAAATAAGAGGGATTACTGGACTGCTGTGGCTAATGACAGCAAAGCACCAGAGCCAGACATGTTGCTAGGGAACCTGTTGCGCACTGAGATATGCAAAAACAGATTTGAGACACCCAGCCCTCCAAAAGTCTCCTTTTTGCCAGCTGAAACACTTTTATTTAAAAAAGGTGTTTGCAGAATACTTTATGAGTAAAAATCTAGGAATATTTTATACTCATCCTTTGTTCTCCATGCCTTTTCTACATGGAATTGATGTTCATCTTTAAGTTCCATTAATTCTAGGTGATGGTCAGGAAGTCTGGCAAGGTGGGCAGAGTTTGGAGCTGTTCTCTTTCCTTCTTTCTACTAACAGTATATATGAGCTAACGTTTTATGTATGCAGCAATGTAGGACTGACACTCTTGGAGAAATAATTTACGTGAATTAGGTAATAAACCATTACGCATGTTCTTTCAGGTCTTTCTAGAAGATCTACCAGAAGACTTTGCAGATGCTGTATATGAGTACAACAGCAAAATAGAGAAAAATTTTGCTCATTTTCTTCTAACAACTGCCAAATTGGCTGATATGGAACAAGAATACAGACTTCCACTGTCAAAGACAGGTAGGCAGTGAAAAATTCATGCCTATTCATCGTTTGTGAAATTGATTATATCGAGAAAGCTATTTTGTAAGGAAAAAATGGTGAATTCAGACATGGTAATAAGGAGATAAAATTTATAGTTCCCTTTTATTTTATGGTGCGCATGATAGATTATATTGTGTATGGTAGGAGTTTACAGGGCAAGGATCATTTTAGTTGCTCTTCTTTTATCATTTTGGAGAGGGAATAAAAACGAAATTAAAGGGATTTTTTTTTTTTAAATGGAAAATATTTATAGTAAGTGTAATTTTAAAAAATATAGCCTTTTTTTTCTAATAATGAATGCATTTACAGCTTCTGAAACGGCTGTGATAGTTGAGTTGCTGACGTTCTAGAAAAAAAATTCACTTTAATGAAGACAAATTAAAGTACAAATTTTTAGAAATAACCAGATAGATAGTTCTTCTACAGACAATGACTGAGGTTATAGGCAGACGACAGACCAATTGAAATGCCGTTCTAACGTTAAAAACAGGAAAGTCATACGCGGTTGCATAAAGCAGAGTGGTTGTATGTGGCAGACTTCACGTACTTAAGCCCTAACAAGGCTTCAGTTAGAATACTGGTGTGTGCATGTGCAGCTCCACACTTCAAGAAAAATGTTGACCGAAACTCCAGAAGATAGTAGTAAAAGTGCTATTAAAACCTATGAATACAGGCTAAAAAAACTATTTCTTTAACCTAGGATGGAATAAAAGATGAAGGTAAAAGAAGTCTTCAGACAGTAAAATTTGCTTTGTTTTTG